CACAGGGACCCCAATATCCCACAGACACCCCAATGTCCCACAGGGACCCCACAGGGACCCCAGTATCCCACAGGGACCCCAAAATTCCATAGGGAATCCACAGAGACCCAATATCCCACAGGGACCCCAATGTCCCACAGGGACCTCACAGGGACCCCAATATCCCACAGGGACCCCAATATCCCATAGGGACCCCACAGACACCCCGATATCCCATAGGGACCCCACAGGGACCCCAATATCCCACAGGGACCCAAGAAGGACCCCAATATCCCACAGGGACCCCACAGGGACCCCAATGTCCCACAGGGACCCCAGAGACACCCCAATGTCCCACAGGGACCCCAGTGTCCCAGAGGGACCTCACAGGGACCCCAATATCCCATAGAGACCCCACAGGGACCCCAATGTCCCACAGGGACCCCAATATCCCACAGGGACCCCACAGGGACCCCACAATCCCACAGGGACCCCAATATCCCATAGGGACCCCACAGGGACCCCAATATCCCACAGGGACCCCACAGGGACCCCAGTGTCCCACAGGGACCCCAGAGACACCCCAATGTCCCACAGGGACCCCAGTGTCCCACAGGGACCCCAAAATTCCATAGGGACTCCACAGAGGCCCCAATATCCCACAGGGACCCCAATTTCCCATAGGAACCCCAGAGACACCCCATAAACCCCACAGAGACCCCGATATCCCACAGAGAGCCCCGATATCCCATAAACCCACAGAGCCTCCAACACCCCGTTAACCCCACAGAGCCCCCCACCCATAGGGGTCAGTGGGGTCCATGGATTCTGTGGGACCCATGGGTTTCTGTGGGGTCTGTGGGGTCTGTGGGGTCTGTGGGGTCCATGGATTCTGTGGGACCCATGGGTTTCTGTGGGGTCCGTGGGGTCTGTGGGGTCTGTGGGATCTATAGGGTCAGTGGGTTTCTGTGGGCTCTGTGGGGTCAGTGGGGTCAGTGGGGTCTGTGGGCTCTGTGGGGTCAGTGGGGTCTATGGGGTCTGTGGGCTCTGTGGGGTCAGTGGGGTCTATGGGGTCTATGAGGTCTATGGGGTCTATGAGGTCTGTGGGGTCTGTGGGGTCTGTGGGGTCCATGGATTCTGTGGGACCCATGGGTTTCTGTGGGGTCTATGGGTTCTATGGGGTCCATGGTGTCAGTGGGATCTATGGGGTCTGTGGGGTTCTATGGGGTCAGTGGGGTCTGTGGGGTCCGTGGGGTCTGTGGGGTCTGTGGGGTCTGTGGGGTTCTATGGGGTCAGTGGGGTCTGTGGGGTCTATGGGGTCTGGGGGTTCTATGGGGTCTGTGGGGTCTGTGGGGTCAGTGGGGTCTGTGGGGTCT